AAGATTGTATTACTGTACTGTGATAAAAGAGAATCACAATGCTGAAAAAGCATTTTCAGAAACAACGTTTGGATTTGAAATCAAAATAATGGATAAATGTTGTGTTTGTGGTAAACAGCCGCGGATCAGGAGCGGACTGCAAACGTGTCCTGTGTGAAAGCAAAATGAGTCCGTGCTGCGTCTGCACTGCATACACATACTGTATACGCACTGCAGACGGAGTACGTGTGAACTTGGCGCAACAAATCTAGTTCAACATCTGAGGCAACGCCTAAAGAATCATATCAACTTGTGGAAAATAGGCATCCGATGACCCCTTTAACTTTGCAGTGGGATTTGATACACTTAAAATGATGAAAGACCAGACTTTTTTTTTTTTGAAGTCTTGATTGATATGTCTCTTCTGAATTCATCTCTGACACCTGGGCTGTCTGAGGTCTTTTGAAATATCAGAGATCAGAAGTTCTGCTCTGAAATAGGAATGTCTGCACTGGACCCATTGTCCTTTGGATATGACAATTCATGACACGCTTCTGAAAACTTTGTCATGTTTCTTTGTGTAGTGGTTAAAGCTGCAAGATTGCAGGTTGGATCTCCAGAAGGAAAGAACCATGAGCCTGTGAAACATGAGTGGTAGAAATAGTTTATTTGAGATTTATTTCAATAACCAAAACTGCTTTTTTATAGATTTAGTTCTAGTTTTAGTACTTGTACCTATTACAGGAATTGAAAATGCCAATATGGTTGCAGAGTGGACTAACTTGGCACTTAGACTTAACCAGACTGATTCAGGTTGATTGTTCAAGGCTGTTCTATTATGACTTTGTACAAAAGTGGCAGAAACAAATTTTTTCAGTTGTGCGGATATAAATAAAGATTCTATTCTATTCCACTGAGTCAGAATATGGCTTCAGAAAAAAATCAGAAAAAGTTTTTTTTTAGGAGTCGTGGTAGTAGAGGTGGCGCAACTATAACGACATGTGAATAATCCTGCCCACTCAGCTTAAACCAACTCAAACCAGGCGCCATGCTTCAATGTGCTATATAAATAATTTTTATTTTAGTTAAATTTAGTTTTTAACAGGGCATCAGTATTTGTATATCTGCAATGCAGTTTTCATACAAAAAAAAATATAGGACAGATTATTTGCGGCTTCATTCTGCAGCCTAGAAATAAATCAACTTTGTCATTCATTTGTCTTAGGTTATTATGCACTGTCATGTGCAGTATGAGCTGTTATCTGCAGTCTGACTTTGCTTCCTGTTTTAGCATTCTGCCCAGAAAATGGACAGAACAAACAGAGGAAGATATGGCCATTAATTCATTAGCACACACATCTACAGACAACCACAGAGCTACCGATGGCTTTCCAATGAGGCCAGAGTGGTCTTGCAGTGAGGCCAGATTATGTGAATCAATACAGATTCTTGGGACAGTTCTCTGCACCAGTAACAGAATTCATTCAAGTCAAGTCACCTTTATTTATATAACACTTTATACAATACAGATTGTTTCAAGGCAGCTTCACAGTAATAAACAGGAAAATAACATAATCATTTAAGGCAAACTTCATCAAATATGAGACAAATTCAAATTCTGCTGTAAAGCTGCTCTAACGAGACAATAGTTTAATCATTCATCTCGAGTGTTTAGTGTTGTTTAGTACAGTTCAATAACTGTAAACTTCATCAATTATGAAACGAATTCAGTTCAGCAACAAGCAGATCTACAGAAGAAAATAGTGTCATTATTCAGCTCGAGTCGGTTCAGTGTTGATTCATTTCGGTTCAGTAACAGTCTTAATGTTGCAAAATTCATTCTCCAGTTTCAAGTATTTTAAATAATATTCATTTGACAAAAAATGTTGCAAGACAAACAAAAGGCCTACTAATAAGAAACTTTCTTGCAGACATTCAGCCATTGTAGCTCCATGTCCACAGCTTTCTCAAATTTACTCTGCTTTAATCCTTAGCATACTTTGTCCTTTTAAGGGAGACAGTCTGTCAACCTGTGTGATGTGAATGTCCTCCTGAAAAAGGCAGTGAGTAAAATTCTAAGTCAAACAGAGTTTGGGATGGTTACAGGATAATTCGGAGGTCGTCTGCTGTAAATGAGGCCAGTGATCTCTGTGCTTTTACTGGATGTAAAACATCTCCCATGACTGTTCCTCCATAGAGCCAGTGTACTCTTGAACACAGACTGCCTTAAAAAATACCACACAAGTCTTGGAGGGATTACTCAGATATTGCTTTGCATGTAAACACCTTTACGGACCTTCTGGTGGCTTATTTATTATGTCTTGTGTGCATGTCGGTTCATGTTTTGACATCCCTCCAAAAAATGTAAATTTAAATGTCTTGTCAATTCAAATTCTATTCTATTTGCTGCTGGATTTGAGTATGCACTAATTATACTGTAAGGCTGTTGCTGTGAAATAGTGTAGCTTGAGATCCCAGTTGTTTGTCTAAATATAATTGGGATTAAAGGAATAGTTCACCCAAAAATTTTAATTTACTCACCCTTAGGCCATCCAAGATGTTGAGGAGTTTGTTTCTTCATCTGAACAGGGTTTGGAGAAATTTAGCATTGTATCACTTGCTCACCAATGGATCCTCTGCAGTGAATGGGTGCCATCAGAATGAGAGTCCAAACAGCTGATAAAAACATCACAATAATCCACAAGTAATCCACACGACTCCAGTCCATCAATTAACATCTTGTAAAGAGAAAAGCTGCATGTTCGTGAGAAACAAATCCATCATTAAGGTCTTCTTAACTTTAAATTGTTGTTTCTGGCCTTTCTCCATAATATTGCTTTCTCCAGTGAAAATGATATATTGTCTGAATCAGGAGAGAAATATGCACAGATCAAGCGCAATTTACAAGTGAAAACAGTCTAAAACAGTTCTAAGGAAGTATGTTGTGGATTTTGATATGAGAGAACTGGGGATGGGTTTTTTTTTACTGGAGAAAGTATTATTATAGGTAGAAAACTTGTATTTTGGCCAGAAGCAACCGTTTAAAGTTCAAATGGCTTAATGATGGTTGATGGATTTATTTCTAACAAACAATCAGCTTTTTACTTCACAAGAGGTTAACTGATGGACTGGAGTCGTATTGATTTTTGTAGCTTGTGGATTATTGTGATGTTTTTATCAGCTGTTTGAACTCTCATGATGGCACCCATTCACTGCAGAGGATCCATGGTGAGCAAGTAATTTCTCCAAATCTGTTCCAGTGAAGAAACAAACTCATCTATATCTTGGATGGCCTGGGGGTGAGTAACCACTCCTTAACTACTCCTTTATATTGAAAACAAATGAAGATGTTTGCTGATATGTCTTGCTTCTTAAATATTTCTCCTCAAGACCCTACTAATCTCAATATGATCTCAAATATTGCTCATCAGATTCCTGTAACACCAAATCAACTGAGCGATGCTATTCACTTTTATTTTATTGGTCTTTAATTTTGTTATAATGTATGTCAACAGTTGTCTCTTTTCTTTCTATTTTTATATCTTAAGGTCAATACAGTTTTCCTCAGGGTGAGACTGTCCGTGTGTTTGAGTCAAATAACAAAACTCTTCGTAAAGTACTGCAGACATCTTAAAAAAATAAAGGTCTGTTTTTGCTCACGGCGGAGCATGTCTGTGGAATGTAAACACTGTGTGGTTCATAGGTGAGCGTTTGTGGGTTTTAGCAACTAAATCAGAAGACTGGCTTAAGTCCAGGACAACAAGAGCAGAGGAGCTGCTGTCACAGTAATAGGCTTTTTGTTGAGGAATGCTCGGAAATGTAATATAAACAGCGATGATGTCATTTAAAGAGCACACTCCACCATATCAGACCAAGTTGTCCATCCACTAGCACTTGAGCAATTTAATGCCATTAGCAAAACTAAATGGATTTGCAAAAAATAATGGCTTAAATTGCCCAATGACTTTCTAAACAGGTTTTCAAAATACTCGTCTGCCATTTTTTGGTCAAACAGATCCACTTCAAAATTGTTGTACAAGAGGTTCCGTCTGGCAAACAAAGCAGTGTTTTGAGAGGCACAGTGTTTACACTCTTCATAAGTAAGTCTCTGTAGTGAAGTATTTCATCATGAAAATTAGAGAACAGCTGATTTTTCACAAAAAAATCTTTGGAAATGTTTTGCTGTGAAGTTCATTTCAGAAAAGGTTCATTACTTAGTTCATGTGTGGGAGGTTACGTTGACTTTTAATTACTTGAAATGTGTGTACAATGTGTGCCTGTGATGCAAACCTCATTTTCAGCTAGTCTGATTTTTGTTTGCCGTGACGTCCAGCAGATTCTGTGTATTTACTTTCAGCTCTTGAAATATCCTCTTCCTTTCATCTCTTGTTTTTCTAAACCCACATTCCTTGTGGATTCATTGGATTCACATTGGCTATGTTTGGATTACCATACTATCATTCAGCTCTTACTGTCTACAGTGTATATAATATGCATAGTGTGCAAATTTTAATACCTGGATGACACACTACATTTGCCAAAATGTGTACAACAGAGTACATTGTATTGGATGCTGTTTCCCATATTGCAATGTGTTTGCATTACCTTCCAATTTCATGTGATGAATGAAACTGCCAGCCATGCTTAATAATATTAATAGTATCAGCTGTTTTACATTTTTTTCTACGCATAGTTTGATTGAATTGCCAAAAGTTAAGATTAAAAATGATAAGTGGACACCATTCATGTAATTAAATGTGCACATAATCATAATGAGTTCATGAGGTCATATTGTAGTATGACACTGTTTATAGTTGCGTAATGCATTTAGTGTCACAAACAATTTTTTGAATAGTTGTATTTAGTGTATTCTGAGCAATAACCAGCGAGTTTCTATTTCAGGCATAGTCATTGTCTTTACTATGTTAAAGAAATGACATGGACCTTTTTAACCATGTTTTCTGCACTGTACAGGTCAAAGGAACTGATCAAGTCAGCTATTCTGGACAATGACTTCATGAAGAACCTAGAGATGTCTCAGATCCAGGAAATAGTGGACTGTATGTATCCAGTGGACTATGACAAAAACAGCTGTATTATTAAAGAAGGGGATGTGGGCTCCCTCGTCTATGTCATGGAAGGTGAGAGACAGGAACGGAAAAGTTCCTTTTGAAAAGAGTTTGTGCTTTAAATATGTTTAGCAAGGCATAATTTACCCAAAATTAAAGTTCTGTCATCATTTATTAACCGTAATTTCTTTGAACCATTTGAGTAGTTTTTTTGATTGCAAATCAGGCTGCCAAAAAGTCCCATAAAACTATCAAAACAGTTTTCTTTACTACCTATGTACTGTCTCCCAAAGCTTCTAAAGCCATACGATATCTTTTTGTTAGGAACAGACCAAAAGTGAATCAAAATGTTCATTCACTTAATGTGGCTTTAGTGCACCGCTAGTCCCAGGGGTCAAAGTCAAATTTGGGTTTCTGCTGTAGATCAGAATATTGGATCCAGAATATTGACCCTGTGATTAGATTATATTGATGAGATGCTTGTTAAATTTATCCTATCAGAGGAGCCTCTTAGAGCTGTTCGACTACAGATCCATTGTTAACTACCTTAATTTTAAAAGTTTTATTGGTATGGGCTTTAAACAGTTAAAACTGATGCCAACAAGTAGAATAGACTGGCTGAGTTATAATGCCCATATATACATTTTAATTTGTATTATGCACACTTTCTTTTAAGGGCTAAATTAGGCAAATGAAAGTTTGAGAAGTGCCCAGACTTCTTACTGAGTAATTAATAGGCATTTCAAATTTGAAGACATTAACATAATATTTTAACATTTGTGGTAGTTGGTTTTTTAAATTAGGAAACTGGGGATGATTCATTATATGTTATATTATATGTGACCCTGGATAATAAAACCAGTCATAAGGGTCAATTTTTCTGAATAAATAAGCTTTCCATTGATGTATGATTTGTTAGGATAGGACAATATTTGGCCGAGATACAACTATTTGAAAATCTGGAATCTGAGGGTGCAAAAAAATCCAAATATTGAGAAAAACGCCTTTAAAGTTGTCCAAATGAAGATCTTAGCAATGCATATGACTAATCAAAAATTAAGTTTTAATATATTTACAGTAGGAAATGTATAAAATATCTTCATGGAACATGATCTTTACTTAATATCCTAATGCGTTTTGTCATAAAAGAAAAATCTATAATTTTGACCCATACAATGTATTTTTGGCTATTGCTACAAATATACCCCAGCGACTTAAGACTGGTTTTGTGGTCCAGGGTCACATATATTATGTATTATACATCATATATGATTTACACAAGCACATATTTTTGACAGTATAATCTCTCAGTAATACACAATAATGGCCTTCTAACATACATGAAATAAATGCATGCAGGTTCAGTAATGCTTCACATTTCTTTGCACAAAAATAATTAGACGGTGCTTGTATGCAATACTTTGTTGAGAATGTGCATGACATGACTTGTTATCGCATTTAAGCAGTGTCATGAATGAGAGTATGTCCTTAGTCAAAATATATTTAGTCAAAATACATACAAGCATACTTTTCTGTCCATGTGATATTTTTTTTTTTAATCATTGTGGACGTGGTCTATCACTAGTATTTATATATTTGTTTAAGCGTCAGTGTTGGATACTCATTTGGAATATTCTTTAAATATTTTATCTTGTTTTGGTGACACCTGCAGAAGCCAGGTTAGGATTGTGTCGGCCTCCTGTATCTGAAGTAATTACATCTGTCAATACATCTGTCAATTTCTGTGGTTTAATGAGAGAAAAGAGCTGTTGTGTTTTCTTAGGGTCAGAGGATTTTCTCCATCTTTCCTCTTTATGTTCCTGAGGGAATGGTGGAACACTTGGTTTGAATTAAGGGATTTCGTTAGTGATGCTCCAGAGGTTTGATGCTTTTGTGGTACAAATTGGACACTTGCCCAACACACTATATCCTGGCACAAGCCAATTAGAAAGAGAGACTAAGTGGATATTGGCTGTATACAGTCCCAGTACACATTAAGGTATGTTGTTGTTCCGTAGTAATAAGACAAATAATTATATCTGTTCTCTCAGCATTAGCTCTGCCACATTCAGTTGTTTGCATAGAAAACAGCAGTTGATCAGCAAGAGCAAAGGATTCAGAGAGAATGGAGATTAGTGGTCGACCGATATATCGCCAAGGCCGATATATCGGCCGATATTTGGCATTTTTCAAATATCGGCATTGGCCGATAAGTTTTTCTGCATGGCCGATGTGTTCGAGGCTTAGGTTAGGTTAACCCTAACCCTAACTTTTATTTTGACGGCGCGCCGGACTTTTAGGAGAGTTCAGCTTCACTGGAGACGCGTGATCAACTTTAAACTCGTTATTTCAAACTATGCTGATTTATGCATTTGCGCACTGTCATATTCATGTCATTTTTACTGCGTGCTGCATGTAAAATGAGTGTTACCTTGGCTTTAGTTGAAAAAATATGATTCCCAAAACACACAAACTTCCCAGATTACCGAGTGCCCTGTTGGTTACAGTGTTTACTTTCTTTTTGTTTATATATTTTAAAATATTTCTTTATTTGTGAAAAATACTGTAATAGAATTATAGAATCAGGAAGTTGTCATCTAAAGTATAAGTATGTTTATTTTACACATTTATTATTAATATAATTCATTTTCAAATTATTTCAAGTTTCTCAAACATTAATTAAAATAAATAAAAATTATAATTAAAATAAAAAATATACTTATATATATATATATATATCGGCTTTATATCGGCCATTGGCCACCCTGCTCTCTAAGATATTGGCATCGGCATCGGCTGTCAAAAAACCAATATCGGTCGACCACTAATGGAGATGGGAGAGGGAGAACGAGGACTATTCTTTTGGGATTTTTATTAGAAAGAAAAGCAAACTTTTCATGGCAGGGTTTCTGTCTTCCAGGATGTACATGTGAGACTAGATGAAATAAACGATATACAGTCCAAACGCAGAGCAGTGAAGAACTTGTGAGATACAGAATGACTTTAATGCTGGTGGAATCCTCTATTCAGATCATCCTTTCATCAAAATCGAGGTCTCCCTTTCAGAGAAAAATGTCAGTGATGGAGGTCAGAGGATCAATAATAGTGATCCGAGTTAAACTGACCAGCATTTCCATTTGAAGCCCAAAATCACATTAAGCGAGTCCTGTATTTTTATGGTCCAAAAGAAGCTTTTGTTGATGAGATATATCATGTGTGGGCAAACTATTTAAGCTTTCAGTCACACAAGAGGGACATTTCAGCTGAGATAATTAGTTCGGACTTACAATAGGAGAGCCTAGACAGGAAATGATGCCATGCTATTATTGTGCCTTGAATGTCATATTAGCCTGTGTGCTGAAGTCGACATGCTAATTAGCCCCAATCTGAATAAATAAAGACACGCTTAATGACTATAGATAATGTCAGCTCTAAAATTGCAGCTTGTGTGTCTGATGCATGATTTCATACTACCCAAAAGTCATTTACCAGTAACCATTTGGAGAAGCCAACCACAAAAACCCTCCGTATGGAAAGTGTTCAATCATGAAATCAAAACTGACCTCATGCATGACACGCAAGGGCACATTATCCTTAAGAAGAATTTTCTTTAAATCAAAATGTCTTTTTTTTTATAGCCATATAGCCAATAGCCAGTGCCGATATGTAGAAATGTCAGATATATGCCAGTATATTTTATATTCTGAAATCTGACTGGATATTCAATAAGAAATAATGTAGGGTGGGATTTAGATTTCGAAAAAAAGTCAATTACATTAATAGAATTATTTTTACAGAATAGAGCTAAAGTAGGTGGATGAAGGAGCAGGGTAAGTCATTCGCAAGGGAAGCAATTTCACAGGCTGAGCTAGTTACATTACATTTTGATAAAGATAACTTTCTTTTATTCAAAATGTTATACACTGATGAATCAAGTGCAATATGACTAGGAATGTGCACTGAAAAAGCCAATAGGGTAAAAAAAAGAAATTTTCATGCTGACTTTAATGATGACAAGTGAACAGGAATTGATTGACCACAGGAGCCATAGTCCTCTAAGGGAGCCTCAAGCTGTAACTAGTTTTTCCAACAATGACTCATTCCAAACATCCAAACAGCTTCATCACTTCATACTGATGAATTGATTTATTCAGGTTTTTAAAGAAAAAAAAATAGAATAGAAGTCACTGTTGGGTGACTGTTCTGTTCTCAAAATGTTGTACATTTTCGATCACTTATAACATCAGAACCGTGGTTAACCAGCATGAAAGGTTGTCAGGGAGAGTGTGTGCAGAGATGCTAAATAATCATTATCTGTCACTTTGATGGACTGGGTTGTAAATTTACTATCATCTTTTGTTTATCTGTCAGTAAATATTGTAGCACTTGGAACTTTTTATGTGACATTGATATCAGAAGTTCTCTTGCTTTTAGGCTTATCTTGTGCTATGTTGAAGGTTATGGCTACTTTTTATTCTGATCACTCAATATGACAGACAACTGAAGCCGTCTTGCAATTTGGTCAACCAATTTAATGAACAATGTCCCATGAATTATTCCACTGGTCTACATGTGTGCACTTGTTTATCTTCCCACATCCTCACTCACGTCTCTGTCTCCAGTTGTCTGGTTTTTCATTTGCTTCTTTTTCTTTAAAACTTTTTTAAAGATTTACTTTTAATCCCTTTTACCAACTTTTAGTGTGGGAATTTGTCTAAAAGACGAACCCCCAGTAGAACAGATACCTTATTTTTTGAGTACTCAATAAATAAATAAACATTTTCAATGATTTAAGTGTATACATAGTAAATATTGCAAAAGTGTGAGAGTACTTATTTTTTACTATATTTAAAAAAAGAAAGTATTTTTATGTGTAGGTACTAGGGATGGGAAGATTCCCCGATTCGCTCGGTTCATCGGCATAAAAAGTTAACGATGCGATGCATCGGTTTAAAAAGTGTGCATCGGCTACAAGTTGTCATTTATATTGCGATGCATAATTTCTAACATATTTGCATCGGTAAAACCTGATTAATTTATATACAGGTGCATCTCAATAAATTAGAATGTCA